AAAAGAAACAAAACCAGAGAGAGAAAAAGCAGGCTACTCCCTAAAACAGGTATTACGCATTGTCTGGTGCAAACTGACAGTGGCTCACACACTTCCCTACAGAGCTCTCTAGCCTGCAAGCAGGACCAGGACACCATTGAACATCTAAAGTGATCGCTGTACAATTTTAATAGTTTTCCTTATACACGTGCCCTTATACGTGACTCTGAGTTTCGGTCTTGTTAGCAGTGGCAAGAGCAAACCCCTGATATTCAGAGGTCCAGTACAAGTCGCAGTGCACCACTTAAGTCCCATAGCACATTGGGACTTAAGCGGTACCACGGCCTTGTGCAGAGGCGAACTTCACTCTCACTGGGAATGAAGGTGGGTTCTCAGATCCGCCCGACAGCCCTAACCAAAGACTCCTTTCCCTTCCCTGCTCCAGCACTACCTGACCTGTTTCAGTGGGACGATCGCTGTCCCGTTCCTCCTGGCAGAGTCCCTGTGTGTGGGAAAGGACCAATACACGGTCAGCCAGCTCATCGGCACCATCTTCACCTGCGTCGGGATCACCACGCTGATCCAGACCACGCTGGGGATCCGGTAGGTTGTCCACACTATCTTTTGGCTGTTGGTCCCTGTTGAACCATTGCACGGGAAGCTTTGAAGGCAAGGCAGAGCAGCGGGCAATTGCAAATGAGGCTTTTCCTTCTTGCTCATGCAGACTCCCCCTGTTTCAAGCAAGCGCACTCGCCTTTCTGGTTCCTGCCAAGTCCATCCTGGCCCTGGAGAAATGGAAATGTCCCCCAGAAGGTAACTGAAGCTTCGTTTACAACCAGGTCATGTGGTAAAGCCCATGAGTCACTTAACAGCCCCTCCAAGTACAACTCTTATAGCTAAGGGTACAACAGGGTCATAGCGTTTAAGGCCAGAAGGGGCCACCAGACCTCCACTAGACTGAAAGGGCCTCCACTAGCCTGACCTCTTGCATATTAGGCTAACAACCCCACTCGAGACCTGCACACTAATCCCAACAACCAAAAGGGGACCAAGCCCATAGGAGACAGTTCTAGTATGGGCACAAAGTAGGGGGGGCTGAGGTGCACCAGTGCCCGAGGCCCCTGCAGTGGCAGGGAACTGATTAAGTGAGAAATACCCAGAGGAACTTGGCAAGCGACCTGCCCCCAACGCCACAGAGGAAGGTGAAACCCCCCAAGGTCGCTGCAGATCTGAGCTGGGGAAATTCCTGCCTTACTCCATATATGGCGTCAGTTAGACTGAGCCTGTGAGCGGGAACAGCCAGCCAAGCGCCTGAGAGAGAGAACACTCAGTGTCATGTGTCAAGTGTCATGGCTGAAGCACAGCTATCAAGAGGTAGTATAGTCTAGTGGGTAGGGCACCAGCCCAGGAGGCCATGGCTCTGTGCCCAGTTCCCTGATGGGTGACCTGGAGCCAGTTCCTTCTTCTCTCTCTCTGCCTCTGTTTCCCCTCCCAGACTGGTCTATTTAGGGCACGTCAACACAGCAAATGAAGGTGTGATTGAAGCACCATTAGGCACGCCAGGGTTAGCCTTAATCCAGCTGGCGTGGGTAACATTGATCACGGCGGCGCAGGTTTTGGTACAGGCTAGCCATCCCAGTACCAGCCCACCAGAGCCCCTGTGTACATACCTGGGCTGCTGGTCCAGGCCATTGCATTTTCACTGCTATTGTTGCCCATGCTGGGAAGATTAAAGCTCACCCAGATATGCTACTAGTGTTACAATCCCACCTTCACCTGCAGGGCAGAGGTACCCTTCGCTGGTCGGCTCTTTGGGACAGGGATTGGCCCTCACTCTGTGGATACATGGTGCCAGCACAGTGGGGTCTCTAGATTTCAAGGGAGATGCACCAGTGTAAACAGGACTAGTACAGCAGTGAATCATGCCCTAGGGAGCAGGGCCTGGAGTGCTGTTATCCCCGCGTGTCTAACAGCCTCGTTTCATGTCTTAGAGGAGATCTACGGCAATTGGACGTTACCACTGAACACATCTCACGTGTGGCACCCGAGGATGAGAGAAGTAAGCTGTGCTCTCTGACTACGCCGCCAGGGGCGTACACAGCTCAGGGGCCGTGGGGATCTGTCTCTCCAGGACACGGGAAAGAAGACTCCCCCCAGACAAACACCCAACTTGCTTACGTCTCGGCCGCATTAGGGCCACGCACCTTGGTGTTTATGAGATTCACCCCTGTGCAGGGGGCCAGTGCAAAGTGCAGGTGCCACTTCTGTCCTGTGCAACCCACAGCAATTTCCCCCTGCTTCTGCAGTCATGTCCAGCCAAGACACACAAGCAGGAGGGCCTTCCAGGTGACTCTAGCCATGGTTGGGTGCACTTGACTGGTCAATTGGAAATACCTTCAAACACATCTCAGGCCAGTGCTCAGACATGCCAGTAGCACTGTAGCTGTGAATGGTGCTGGTGTCTGTCTCAGCGCAGAGCAATTGCCTATTAGTTAGGACACTGGGCTAGGATGTGGGAGACCTGTGCTGAATTCCCTGCTCTGCCCTGTACTTCCTGTGTGACACCGGGCAAGTCACTTAGTCTGTCTGCCTCAGTTCTCAGCTGTGCAATGGGGCTAGCACTGCCCTACCACACAGGGTGTGGGACGATAAATACATATAAGATAGTGCGGTGCTTTGAGATTCGCTGATGGAAAGGGCTATGTAAGAGCCAGGTATTGTTATTAACAAGGTCTATGCTGATAGATGGAGAGATACCGAAGTGACACCATCCTCCCTCAGCCCGGGAAGCTCCCAGGTGCAAAAAAATCCAGTTTGGAATGGGACATAACCCTCCAGGCTCTAGGGCATAAGCCAGCCTCTAACTATGGAGAACTAGGAGGAATCTTTCCCTTGGGGCTGGTTAGCCCCTAACAGCCCACTGCAGGTCTCCCTGCAGCTTCCTATGGAGAAGCTGGTGCTGGCCCCAGCTGGAGGCAGGATCCTGGATTAGCTAGATCCCTGGTCTGATCCAATGTGGCAATTCTTGTGTCCAATGGAAGGTGGACACCAGACAGCACCTCCTGCTGGGAAGTTGGCTAAGACCCAGAAAATGCAGCTCATCATTGGGTTGCCTGGCCATGGCGGAGAGTTTCAGAGTTGCTGGGTTTTATAATGTGTAAAATGCAGTTATTCTCCAGTGGTTTAATCTTCTAATCAAACAAGAGGACTTACTTTACAGCAGCTACAAGAGTTCCGGCTCTCGCGCTGCACTCAAACAGGAGAGGCCTGGCCTGTGGCCTCCCAGACATCATCCGACTGGACTGACTGCAGCTCCCGGGCTTATTCACTAGTCAGCTTCATTTTACCCAAGACACATTTTATATGTTTTTAGTCATTTGCTCTTCTTTGAACCAGGATGCAGCCGTTTAGAATTGCTTGCCTCTTGCATGATACTGGCATGTCCCCTTATGTTGTTCAACCCAACCTTCTCTAACTTGTGAAGAGCATGGGCTGGATGGATGGATGGACGGACGGATGGATATATATATAATGACTGGATGGATGGATGGATGGATGGATGGATGGATGGATGGATGGATATGCCCATTCCCATCCCAGTCCAAAGTTCTTCCATGCTTTATTCCTTTCCCTTCCTCCATGATGAAGCCTTCCCCAGCACAACATCACTCCCTGTGGACAAGGGCTAAACCCTTGTAGCTGATGGCCACGGTGCTCTCTGCCCATGTGGGGCAGAATGTGCTGCCTCCACAGCCCCAGGGATGGGGGGCCGGGCTCAGCATCCAAGGTCAGAGCCATGCAAATGCCACTAGGCCTCCAGGCTCATCCCTATCTGTAGCACCTGCGCGGGTGGAGGAGCCTGGCAGCATGTGACAGCTCGGAGCTGACCACATCTCCACACCTCACATGCTTTCCCCCCCTTTTGCACCATAGATCCAAGGGGCGATCATCGTGTCCAGCCTGGTGGAAGTGGTGATCGGGCTTGTGGGGCTGCCAGGAGCACTGCTCAGCTACATTGGACCTCTCACCGTCACTCCCACCGTCTCCCTGATAGGACTGTCAGTCTTCCAAGCTGCGGGGGACCGCGCAGGATCGCACTGGGGCATTGCAGCATTGTACGCTCCTCGCTTATCATACAGAGACCAGCCACAGGGCTCACAGAGTGACATGCTGCTAGCACATAGTGTCACACCCTCATGGGTGTGCATATCTGGAGGCAAAATCTGGCCTTTAAGCTCCAAGTTACCCCCATCCCAGGGTTAAATTCCATCCCCAGACGCATTTGCTGATTGCAGTGGGGTTTGCCCTATAGACCTGATCCTGCTCTAATTGAAGCCAATGGGAGTTTTGCCTATATTTGCATATTTCATATTAAAAACATGCAGCGCTGCTCCATGTAACTTACAGCAATTGTTTTTTCATAATCAAGATCACTTGATAATGAGTATTCAAGCCAAAAAGGGGGACAAAGGTTGAGAGGGGAAGAGTAGATGGGATTAGTCATTGCTTTGCTGAGTTTTCAATAGGATGCAAGGTTCAAAATCTTGTCTGATAACTGATCTGACTGTGTGTCTGTCTATTCTAGAAGCATATAGGACACCAACCACCACCATATCTAAGTACCAGAGCTAACTGAAAATACCATGAAAGTTCAACCTGTGTTTTTGTCCCAAATTAGGATGAAAAGTTGAAATATCAAAAATTTTGGCCGAGCAAAATGTTCTGAAAAAATTCTATTTGGAAATGTCAAAATATTTCAGCTCTGTTCTACATTAAGCTGTGTGTGCCTGAGCTGCAGCAGTACCTCATGGGAGTTATACTTCAGATGCCTCATGCCTCCATTCACCTCTAGCCATACTATATCTCCCATAATGCATCAGAGGCATGGGACTCTCAAGATGCATTGTGGCAGTTCAGCATGAAGGGAAACTGTGATGCATTATGGGAGACGCAGCCCAGTCATGGAATCTGGCCAATAGAAGAAAATGGGGGCTCTTCAACTCCCATGAGGCCCTACCACAGCTCCGAAAAACACAGGTTAACATCAAACTGTCCAGAAACAAAATATTTGATTCAGTTTGATAAACCAAAATGTTTTGATTCAGCTTGACCTGACCCAAGTAGAAAATCAAAAAAATTTCCCCTGGAAAAATTTTGATTTTGCAGCCACTGCAGGAAAAAACATTTGACAGAAAATGCCTGACCAGGTCCACTCAGCACCCAATACATCCTGCTGTTGTAGCCCAGCTAGTGAACAGTGGATTAGTTTACTCCAGTCAACTAAACATACGTAAGGCAAACACCTCACCGGGATTATCCTTCACCAGTTACTTGTGACACATTCTCAGAAAACAACAGGAACTCCAAACTTAGCAGACACAAAATGATGAATGGGGAAATTGGCCACTGGCACCCACAGGCATGTTTGCCACACCAGCATGGATTGTATGTTCTTCTCATACACCAGATCTGTTCTCCTCATTTCTGCATAGCCCAGTGGACACTGGCTTGCATAGACTGGCCCGTAACTGGTTAAAACCATTTGGGTTCAAATACACTATTGTTAATATTATTCATGGTAGTGCCCAGGAGCTCCAGTCATGGACCAAGATCCCGTTGCACTAGGTGCTGTACAAATGCAGAACAAAAAGATGGGCCTGTGCCCAGAGAGCGTACGATCTCTGGACAATGGTGCAATTCGGCCCTCAGGGAGTTCCCCTTCTGCATTTCCTAGGGATGTCCTAATGACTCTTTTTCTCTTTTCAATAGATCCATTTTTCTGATTGTTTTATTTGCCCAGTACCTGCGAAATGCGACCTTTCGGCTGCCTGGTTACAAATGGGGGAAAGGCTGTATTGTGTTCAGGCTACAGATCTTCAAAATGTTCCCGGTATGGATGGTCCCGTCCTCTGCTAATTACCAATGATGGGTGAAACCTCCCACAGCTCAGCGGTCTGGGTTAGATACATACCAGGAGGTCTCCAGACCTGTGACGGAAACATCTATGAACGATCTAGTGCTGCTGGGGCTGTGGTGTTGGGCTAGCAATCGCTAGCACTTACAGAAAGCGTGGCCATGGCTGTGACATTTTGGCACTAACCATGCTGGCCAGAACCCAGGAAAGCAGAAATACTTGGAAATGTGAAATAAATGGGGGAAAGACTGGAATTAACTGAACTTTTCCAGACCTCAAAATACTGTCCTGGATGGGTGCGTGCACTGGTGTCACCACTGCCCTCTAGAGTATGGACTGGGTACTATTCCACTGTGTGGCAGGGTCCTGCTACAGCTAAGGGCTGAGAGAGCTTCTTCAACAGGGGCTGAATTGTGGGGTTGGATGTGCTAACTTCAAACCCTGCTGTTGCTGTGCTGGTCTCAATGGTCCCACAGCACCGGGATCTCTGTGAAGCCATAGATAGTCCTGGAGTTGTTAGTGTAGGTTGGGGGTTTGGATTCCATGGTGGGCAATTCTTGCTGTATTTGGAGCAGTTCTCCCATCCATCTGAGTGTTGCTGCTCAGTGCGCCTGGAGAGTTATGTTACATGGGCCTCTGTTTTTCATCCCCAGATCATCCTGGCCATCATGGTGGTGTGGCTGCTGTGCTATATTTTAACACTGACGGATGTTTTCCCACGCGATGCTGAGGCATATGGCTACAAGGCCAGGACAGACGCCAGGGGGAAAATCATGTCAATTGCACCCTGGTTTCGCCTACCGTACCCTTGTGAGTGAACATGAGATTCTCTTGTGAATCATGAGGGATCAGGGAAAGTGTTTGCAGAAGTGTACACACGTTTCCGTGCAGTGCACAAGTCAGGTTTGCCTGCCATTGGTGCACATACCAGCCCAGCTCGCAGGACACTTTTGCACGCTTCCCCAGGCAAGGCAAGGAGCTGGGGCACCTTGCCCCGCTCAGTATCTTCCACTGATCCTCAGAATTTGCCCCCTCGCTCTGCTCCCCATGCTGGAGCTCAGACTGGGGGAGCGAAATGACCCTTTCCCCTAACCAGATACTCAGCAGAAGCTGCTGTAGGGAAAAGATCACCCTCTACCATCTCCCCTGGTGCACAGCACTGCGCAGGGCCATTGGGGTCCATACTGATTCACAGGGACAGGAGTCCACTGGTAACACTCACAGCTGAGTGGGTGGCCCAGGAGCAGAGGAGAGACGCTAAGGCTGGCCGGGCATGGCCTGAGCTGGCATCCTCCTGCACAGCCACCGCCCCCATGGCTGGCTGCACCACCGGAGCAGAGAAGAAAGCTGGGTGGTTCTCAAGAAGCAACCTGCAGCAGAAGTATATCCCCAGTGTGTGTGTGTTGGGGGAGGGCTCTAGGGGCTTGCAGCTTCCCCCACCCCCACTGCCCCACAGCTGTGTTTGGGCTGCCCAGGTCACCTGTGACAAGCTCAAATCCATAGTGCGCTTTGTCAGAAGGATAATTGGCTGAGCAGCCTTTGCCAGCACACCCTGTGTCTGGCCCTTTGAGATGGGCAGGGCGCGGTCTGGAACCCATGCTAGAGCGGCTCCTGAGCGGGCATGGCCATGTTCAGGGCTTGGGATGCCCGGGGCAGCTCATCCCTTGCTCTGCTTTGCCCGATGCAGGTCAGTGGGGCTTGCCCACCGTGACGGCAGCGGCTGTGTTAGGGATGTTCAGCGCTACCCTGGCTGGCATTATCGAGTCCATCGGGGATTACTACGCCTGTGCCAGGCTGGCAGGGGCTCCGGCGCCACCCATCCACGCCATTAATAGGTACGGTACGAGCAGCTCACCCATCCCTCTAAATCATACACGGGTTTGTGCAGGAGACCCGGGGTTTGCACCACAGCAGGACGATTCCTACTGGGCAGCAGTGGGTGGGAGCCAGGACACCTGAGTTCTAGGCTCATGTGTGCTAGCCAGGTTTTCAATGCCCAGCATTTGGCCCCTCAGTAACTTTGGCCTGGCTTTCTAAGGGGCTGCGCACCCAAAGCTCCCATGAGGGCAGCTGGAGCTGCAGGTTCAGCACCTTGGAAATGTAGGTGCCGAAACATAGCTATAGTGCTACCATTTGGCACCCAAATTTGACCCCCATAACAGGCTACCATTTGGCACCCGTAACCTGGCTGAGCTCGCCCTCCCCAGGTGGTAACTGGGACAACGCTCCCCATCTCCCATGTTTGTCGAGCACTTAGAACATGCCATACACTGTGCAAGTGCCCCGTGCATGAATGTGAACCTCGCCCATGCTTTGTGCCAGGGACGGTTACAACGAGGCTGGGGCATGCCCCGGCCACGGCGCTATCCCCCACTGCAGGGGAATTGCTAGCCACTCGTGGCAGGCAATGTGTGCTGCACCCTTTCCCATTGCAGGGGAGCAGAAGCCGCTGGCTGGAAATTCTCCCACCACAGCCCTGCCCTGTCTGCAACCCCTCCGGTGGAGGCTGTGTCTGCCGCATGCAATCTGCCCCTAAGTGCCCTCATGCATTCCTGCCCTCTCCAAATGCTGCCCTGAGAGCTGCCAATGCGATGGGAAGTGAAATTTCACCCAATGAAATGAATAGGCAGCAGATTTAAAACAAACAAAAGGAAGTATTTCTTCACACAACGCACAGTCAACCTATGGGACTCTCTGCCAGAAGATGTTGTGAAGGCCAAGATTATAACAGGGTTCAAAAAAGAACTAGATAAATTCATTGAGGATAGGTCCATCAATGGCTATTAGCCAGGATGGGCAGGGATGGTGTCCCTAGCCTCTGTTTGCCAGAGGCTGGAGATGAGCGACAGGAGATGGAGCACTTGATGATACCTGTTCTGTTCATTCCCTCTGGGGCACCTGGCATTGGCCACTGTCGGCAGACAGGATACTGGGCTAGATGGACCTTTGGTCTGACCCAGTATGGCCATTCTTATGTTCGATGAAATTTCCTGGGTTTGCTTGTGTTTCCAGAGGCATTTTTACAGAGGGGATCTCCTGTATCATAGCTGGGCTGCTGGGAACGGGCAACGGCTCCACATCCTCAAGTCCCAACATCGGTGTCTTGGGCATCACAAAGGTACCAGCCAGTGAGCTTCTTTGGACACCTCCCCTCTGTGCAGAGTCAGGTGGGATCGCTGTAAAGCTCTCGGCACCTGGACTGATCAGCCGGTGCCCAGCACAGCTACCGGCCTCTCGCCTGTGCTGCAGAGAATATCAGCATCTTCCACTGGTATCCTGGTTATTTTGTGGGTGCAACAGAAGGTGCAGGGTTCAGGCTATAAAACCCTTCAGGGATCCATAGACACCATGGCCCACGTTTTTTTCTTATGATGTAGCCTCTCCATGATGCTATTCCTAAGCCATAAAGAGGGCTTAAATGGCCCGTGCAATACTCTGCTCCTGAGGCTGGAGGGGGTTCTACAGCCAGCACAGAGCTTGGCATAATAGCTCTCTCCAAGCCCCTGGTGTACGTCATGGGCTGGGGACGCAAGAGATCAGGCAGAGGGATAACAGCACTTGGAAGCTGACACAACTTAGAGCAGTACTAGGGCTGCTCTAAATTGCACCCAGAGCCCAGCATGGCACTGAATTAGGGACGTGCTGTGGTGGCTTAATGCTATTTTGTGGCCCAGTGTAGAACCGAAGGAGCAGAAACTCTGGCTTACTCTCGCTCATAGTGCACCAGCCTGGCTGCTCTGCTCAGCTGAACGTTGGTAGCCCCAGATTTGCTGGGTCTGGGGCAGCTGGTGGAGCATTCTCAGCAGCCAAACCTCCGTTCTGGGATTCATGCTCCATCTGGGCCTGAGTCCCAGCTCAGTGCAGGGTCTATCTAGTTTCTGATGCTGGCCCTGAGGCCCTTCCTGGTCACTGTGTTCATATAACGTGTGTCTGCAATAGCACCTCTATGACATTGCTGTGGCCTCTTCTGCCCCTGACACCTTGGACCCGCCTGGTTCCACTTGCCTCACAGTCAGAGTTCGCTTTCTGTCCCTGGGCACCTGTCAGTAAGTCTAGCTATCTATGGTGCTTCTCTGCCCCCTCTTGTGTCTGAGTGCCTCCCACTCACTGCATTTAGCCTCACAACCCCCCTGGGAGGTGGGGGTGGTGGTCCCAGAGCTCGGACTGCAGCCCAAGGCTGGAAATCAACAGCCCCACAGCAGAGAGCCCGAGTCAGCTTGCCCAGGCCAGCTGTGAGGTTTGAATTGCAGTGTAGACATACCCGAAGTGCCTTGCCTAAGTGCTGTGGGAGCCAGGTCAGGGTGTCCTGAACACACGAGACTTTTCGGGTCGATTTTCCAGAACCAGAGAGAAGGTTGTGAAATAAAAACTTTGCGTAGAACAATACCCGGGGCTGGCTGCGGCCTGGGGCCTGCGTCCGGGTTCCAAAGCAGCACTTTAGAGAGCTGCCAACCTCACGCGTGAAAGAGCTCGACCAGAGGCTGCTCTGACTCATAAAGAGGCGGAGTTGCGCAGGACACCGGCTCACAGGGAAGGGAGGTGGTTCGTAGTTGGGGCACTGCACTGGGATATGGAATTTATACGTCTAAGCTCCCTTCCTTGCTCTGTGACAGGTTTTCTCTGTTACCTTGAGCCACCCCCCTCCGTTCCCCACGCCTGGAAATGGGGATAAAACATCATAGGAGTGTGGCAGGGCTAAGATTGGAGGGAAGATGCTGTAGAAGGGCTCAGGCTTGCTGGTGTTTCTCACCCAATGCAGGGTAGAGCACGCACCCTGAGACTAACAAATAGTGCTCAGCCCATAGCGAAAGCTCTGGCTCGCCAGTCTCTTCCCATGAAACAGAACATCCCCGCCCTCTTTAATTTCTAAAGTCTGATGCAGCTTGGTGCACTGAGCAGGGAGTGAGGAGATCTGGGGTCTCAGGCACTGCATGAGCTTGCACAAATCACTTCATTTCACTGTATCTCAGTTTCCCCATCCCACTGTCACCCAGAAATCAGTGCCGGAGTCTGGGTATATTGTCAGTGCCACATGTTTGTTTAGACTGTGTGGCTCAGTCCTTGAGCAGAGGAGGTCACAGACAGCACCCAGAAAAACCACGTTCAGGGCTCTCAGGCCAAGCACCAGTGCCTGGTTCCCAGAGAGCAACGCTGCTGCAAAAATTCCCACTATGTTAGAGAGAGTAAGGCAACAAGCAACTCCTGTCCTGCTTGCAACAGCTCCCCCAAAAGGAACTGTATCACAAACCTAGCAACAACACAGCAGGTCTTCACAGACTGTGCCCTTGTTTGCATGCTAAGAAAAGGAACTGGTAGAACTCTGGGTATGTCTACACAGCAAAAAACCCTGGAGGTGCGAATCTCAGAGCCTATGTCTACAGACTCAGGCTTGCAGTGCTCTCACTATAGTGCTAAAAACAGCCATCTAGACATTCCCACTCAGCCTGGAGCTTGGGCTCTGAAACTGTGTAGATGTACCCTACACAGAGGCATCTGGTATCTCCCACCATAACAATACTTACCTCCTTTGGGAAGTGCTTTGAGATCTCTGGATGAACAGAGCTGTATAATAGCTACGTATTATTAAGCCTGGAATGACTCTAGCCAATTTGCTTCACCTTGTTGCTGGTTTTTCTCTACAGGTGGGCAGCAGAAGAGTGGTGCAATATGGAGCTGGGATCATGCTTGTTTTGGGAACCATTGGCAAGTTCACGGCTCTGTTCGCCTCTCTCCCTGACCCTATCCTCGGAGGGATGTTCTGTACATTATTCGGTAACGTACCTATAAAGATATGTTTATAAATGTAATCAGCAGAGTATCAAGGCAAAATTAAGATTAAATTGCAGTGCTCTTTCCTACCAATCCTTTCCTAATATATTCATTTACATTTGATTGGCCTAAAAGTGACTTATAGAGCTTGCGCCAGGCTGACATTTGCAACGCTGCCTAAGAGAGTTGGCTGCCCAGTGCCCATCAACATTGGCTTTGAAGCTCTCCACTTAACAGCTTGCTTTCCTTTCAGAATCAGTTACAGGGAACAATCTCAAAGATGCAAAAGAACTGCAGCTACATAGCATCACTGGGGATAGGGAGGGTAACCGTGGGATGCACAGCTACTGCCTATATTCTAGGGTTCACGCTTTCCTCCAAACATAAGAGATTATCATTAGTGCGAGCTATACTTTTGTCTCTTGACCCTAAGTGGTGGGGCTGTCAATGCATTATAGCAGCCTTAGGCCTTGTCCATATTCAAAGTCAAATCAGTGTAACTTTAAATCTGTTTCAGAAGTGATTTAGTTAAACTGGTGCAGAATACAGTGTGACCGCAGTTACTTCAATTTCAGGCTGGTTTATATTGATTTAGCTTAACTTGGTAATGAATCAATTTAAGTTAAATTGATATAAACCAGATTTAAATCAAATTAAGAGCGTCCACACAGGTGTTTGCACTGGTCTGATTTAATCAGATTTGGATCACACTTTCAGGCTTGATCTACACTTCAAAGTTAAGTCAACATAGCATAGTCAGAGGTCTGAAAAAAATCACACCTCTTACTGACAAGCTGTGCCAGCCTAACCCCCAGTGTAGACACAGCTATGTCGACAGAAGCATTCTTCTGTTGCCATAGCTACGGTCGTTCGGCAGGTGGTGTTTCTGCACCAATGGAAAACCCCTTCTGTCGATGTAGGCTGTGTCTACGTGATGGGTTGATGCCAGCATAGTTACGGTGATGTAACTATGCCAGTATAGTCTCTCTAGCATTAGACATACCCTTAGTTAAACTGGTACAACTTTCAGAATAGAGATGGCTTTAGTGGTACCTAATTTTTTGCCTCTCAGTCCCAATGACTCAACAGGTGGCCACCTCTACCTCGCACGGAATGCACACAGACCCTCTGTCTCTATAACAAGGCTGACGTTTTCTCTGTTTGCACATTTTCAGGCATGATCACAGCTGTTGGCCTTTCCAACCTGCAGTTTGTTGACATGAACTCCTCCCGCAATCTTTTCATTCTGGGATTCGCAATGTTTTTCGGGCTGACGTTGCCAAACTACTTGGATTCGCGCCCCAATGCCATTAACACAGGTATGCCTCTTGGATTAAAACCTCAAAACATGCTTTAGATCCCCTATTAATATTGCAGTGAATGGAGGACTCTACTGAACTCTTGGCATCAAGTAAGATAGGAATGTGGGTCTCTTGGGCACCATGCTAATGCATGGTACAAGTGATTATCAATATTGCAATTCTTAATGATGTGGAATGACATTAGGAATTTTATGTCGCTTCCATAGGAATGTGGGGGGATTTAGGGCATTTGTCCTGCTCCAAATGAGATCTAAACCCTAGTTAGCTTGCTTTTGTTTGCAGCTGTTGGTCTCTTCTCCCTTTTGATATGTGCCTATAGCTACTCTCAGCATTTCAACACACGGTGTGCTTTATAAACTAGATTTTTAGGAACTCTAATAAAACAAAATGGACAATGGGATATGAGATAACACATACAGAGTCAGTGGGCCTGAGATGCTCATATAAGCCGAGTGAAGAGGGAAAGCAGGAAGGTAGGTAGATAAGAGAGATGTCTTTGAGTATCAATTTAATCTAATCTGGGCCCACAAACGCCTTAGTCATAATCAAAGGTATTGCATGGCATCACTGGAGTTTATTGGTAGGAAACAGCCAGTCATCTTTAAATACACACACTAGTCTTATTTTTCTTTTTCAGACAGACGATAGTAGCATCTAACCCAGTGCTCTGTGTTAATCGGTGTAACATTCTGCATGTTTTATAGGTGTTCCTGAAGTGGACCAAATATTAACAGTGCTGTTAACAACAGAAATGTTTGTTGGGGGTGGCATTGCCTTCATATTGGACAACACCATTCCAGGTACAGCCATTGCAAGCTTTCACCACAAGGCCTTATAATGCATTGGTGCTGTCAGCGGCTTGAGTCACTTTGTGCATGTCTGGTTGTATATTGTTTTAGTTATGATTTCAGTCCTGGCTGGAGAGGTTAAGCTATATTAATTGCTGTTGGCAAACTATCTTCTGGCAGAATCAATGATTCAGGCCTGTAGTTGGAGGTAGAGCAGGATTTTTATGCAATAAAAGCCTGTCTCTCTTTGACTAGAGTTAGATCAGTGATACTCAGACCTCCGTGGTTCAGGAGTCAAATCAGTGATCAACATTACGCAAAAGAGCCACAGTTGTGTGAATTCATTGTTTCATTTTATATATATATTATTCTCACAGCAAAATGACTCACCACGTCTTACTAATCTATTAGAGTTCTTTGAAGGGGTCAACAAACCTGTGGACAAGGGGGATCCAGTGGACATGGTATACTTAGATTTCCAGAAAGCTTTTGACAAGGTCCCTCACCAAAGGCTCTTATGTAAATTAAGTTGTCATAGCATAAGAGGGAAGATCCTTTCATGGATTGAGAACTGGTTAAAAGACAGGGAACAAAGGGTAGGAATAAATGGTAAATTTTCAGACTCGAGAGGGGAAACTAGTGGTGTTCCCCAAGGATCAGTCCTAAGACCAATCCTATTCAACTTATTCATAAATGATCTGGAGAAATCTTGGAATGAGTAAGCTATTTAGTTATTTTGCTGTCCTAACATTCAGGATCTCTCGCTCCCCCCAGGGACACAGGAGGAGCGTGGGCTGGTTCAGTGGAAGGCCGGAGCACATGCAGACAGAACCACAGCTGCAAATTTGAAAAGCTACGATTTTCCATTTGGAATGAGCGTGGTAAAAAGGATACAGTGGTTGAAGTATGTGCCAGTATGCCCTGTTTTCAGGGGATTTAATTCAAGAACAAAAAGGAATTGTGACACAATGGAAAACGTTCAAGAAAACACAGACAACCTGTTCATATGTACTAAGGTCTGAAAGACTCCTGTAATGTGACAGGCGCAAGTCGTTCAGTGCCAGTTAGGTACGATGTACCATAGTTCTAGTTCATAGGTTACTGAAGGAAGACCAGGCCTGGAGAGTTGTGTCAAACGGAAGAGGAGAGAACATGAGGATCAGTTCATAGGGGTTCCCCCATAATTTTGATTCATGACCCCATGGAGTCTACAAAGGGAAACACACCCTAGTTTGAGTCAGTCATCTTTCCCTGTGCTGTCCATTCAGTCTAAGCATGTGTGACAGCTGTTGCCTGCTTACTCTTGAGATAGCTCAAGCCTTCAGTATTGTACATCTGGCTAGTGTGTGTCATTCTAACAAACCCAAAACCTCAAAACAGCAGAGTTGTGGCTGGAGTGACTTCTAACCAACTTTTGCAGCTTCCAACTCTCACCCCAAATTGGTTTAAGATTTGTACAAAACTTGGCTCAGATTTGCTGGAATGCTCATGAATCTAGGCAAAACTAGCCCAAGTTTTACACAGCTCAACTGGTCATCCTGTGTAATAAACTGCTATCCAGACACACTGGGCTAAATTCATTTCTGGTGTAACTCTATAAACTTCAGCAGAATTATACCAGGGATTAATCTGGATCAGCGCGGCCACCATGGCACACTTAATATGGACATAATGTATTTGATACATTAATATTCCAAATCACTTGTTTCTCTGTGTTTTTATTGACAGTGGAGAGAACTGCCCCTTATATTTGCCTCACTAGTCCCGCAACGTAACTCCGGAAAAGTTTATGTTGGATAGCTCTGCTACACCGATCCATCTTTCCTATTGCCTGTTACACGGAGTATAATGAGATCTTAAATAATTGTTAATTATACCCAAGGATGAATAGACAAGTTCATTTTCTGAACTGCCTTGGCTCTGCAGGGCTAACAGTAACGTTGCGTCCCTGATATAAATTGACTCTGAACACAGATCAGTTGAATATTGCCTTTGTGCACAGTCACTTTCCAGAATTGCCTAGTGGGAATTTTTTGCAAGAAACCATGACCAAGTCATACCTGTGAACGCATCTCCCTAGGAACTGGAATGCACAAGCACTGCAGCTTGACTGGACTGAATATGGGTATGTTTAATGCAAAGGTGATCCCTCCCTGGATCTTGATGAAGTGCCATTAATACCAAAATGCAGCTTGTGACTGGATATGCAAGTGTGCTTGGGCTCCCTTGCTGATGAGTGATAGGATCTAAAAGGGGAGGGCCTCTAGGTGACTGACTAGCAACGCTCCCAGAGAACACCCACTGCCACTTTGAATATCATTAATAAACTTCTCAAACTCCATACTTTGTTAGCTCTTTTCTGTTGTCCAAGTCATTTTAAAGATTCTTGGTTGCATCACAACTCTACCCACTAGTAGGCTCCTAACAATAGTGTATGCAAGTGAGCATTTAGCAGCCACATGCCTCCATAGCATCACATCTCAGAATTTAATCAAGTCTAGGCTCACCGAGAGTTTGGAGACCCTTCCAAAGACTATGAAGGCTAGAGGAGGAAGTGGTGTTGGCAATGCAGGAGCACTCTTCTGGGGTGAAATTCACCCTACTTCCCAGCCCCAGGGGGAAAAACATGCTAGTGGTGTGGCATTTCATTTTTTTTTACTTGACACATTTCACGTTCACTTAACATTTGATACCGATATTAGGCTCTAAGCATTTATTAGAAAGGGGAAGGAATAACTCCTTGGTGATTTAGGAGGGGACAGGACTAGTAAATGGAAACAGCTGTCATCAAATGTTGGAGAGGCCAGTGGGTGCAGTTTGATGTTAGCAGGCCTAGGTTGGTAGAATCTGTAAATATCTTGAAAGTGGGCATGGCCTCCAATAGTGTGGATTTATACTAGATTATCAAATTCATCTTATTTTTCCCCTAATCTCCAGAGATTCCTCTACGTGGTGATTTCTCATTCTAAATGTAGTAAATATTAAAGCTGCTGATCTGTACTGCAAATGGGTGCTTAGAGATTACCAAATACCAGTGTGTGAATAAATTACTCAACATGTCTATAATCAGAACAGGAAGCAATCCAATAGATTTGAATGAAAACAATGCTTCTAAAATAAAATGCCTGGCATTGTCAAGAGTATATACAAGTAGAAGGACAGAAAGGATTTGGGTTCATCTCAAAGAAAGTTAGTTCAGCATTAAGTGCACCATTAAACAAAGCTAGCTGAGTGAAAATTAGGATCCATCTCTATTCTGCCGACACTTTGAAGCTACCCACTATACCCATAATGATGATTTAAGTCTCTCTCCAGTGTCTTCCAATAGCTTTTCATTATCAGCTGCATTCAGGTGCAATTTGTCCTTGACACCCAAAGTGTGGCAGGACTCAGACTGTACCATAAAAGCTTCTGAAAGGTTCAGTTTTAGCCGCAGTCCTTCAGATGGTGTCATCAGATGGACACTGTCTACACTTGGGTTTGCAATGCTGCACGCAATGATGGAGTTGAACTGCCATTAGTAGCAGTGAGAAATATACTTAAGGGAAGATGGTCAAGGAAATGCTAGTATGAAGAAAGGAGAAGTAAATCAGATACCAACTTCAAGTCATTACTTTGGACTAGCTTGTTACAAGGAGCACCATTCATTAAGACCTTAAGCATTATTCTTGCTGGGATAGTGTAGAATTATTCCCCTCGTTTCCTCACATTACCAAATGTGAGTGTCTGAGTAGGGTGCATATTCAAGAGACAATCACCAAATCATTTCTACTATTATTTATTTTTTTAAATATTTTTGAAAAAATATAATTTTTTTACAATATTTTCAACTTAAACACTATTCACACTGAACACGTATGGCAGCTTAACCTACCCAAATATGAAGTTTAAGAAGCCAAAACTGTTCTAGCTTTATTAAAAGAAAAAAGTTGTTGTGCTGTAGACTATTGTGTAGTGATGATTAAACAAAGCAAGGGAAAAGCACCACTCAAATCACTAACGCTAAAGTTTTCTTGGTTAAATCCAGCTATATTAAGGTTGTATGCTAGAAGTTACATAGACAGTGTGCTATGTATCCAAGTTCTTGGAAGAAATTGTGATGAAACTCACATCTCCTTAAATGTAATTAGGAAGTGAAATAAACATTTGTAACATGATATACTGTAAATACAGGAAATTTCTTCCAACTGCTTATTTGTTAGTTCAGTAGCTGAGATCTAGGACTCTGTACAGGTCTGTAAAAGTCTGGTACGATAGTTCATTCACACTTCTCAAAAAGAGGAGCATGAAGTAAAGTTTTTTTTATAAGGAAAAAAATTAACATTAGTAAAAATACTGAAACGGAACGTTAGCTAATTTGCATAATGATCCGATAACCTTGCTTTTATTTTTAAGTTAAGGCATTATCAGGTGCAAATTAACACCAGTTGACATGTTTTAGTAACAGACCATCCTTAGTTAAATCCTGTTAAAAAGACAGAGTCTGCAAGAGGTTTTCATAAATTTGGTACTTTGTCTCAACTTGACTGGTGCTTCTTACCTCACTGTCTCCTTCACAGAAAGCCAGGGTCCAATTATGTTTTCATTAAACTTTTGACAGCTTTTTACTTAATAACAGTCTCAGCACTTTTATTAAGCATGCAAGACTAACAAAACTTTGGCAATGCATAAGTGTAACACAGTGACGAGAAGAGAGCTTTTACAATTAAATCTTCTAATACTGGCTTCACAGTGTGGAAATTGTGCTACATCCACCAAAAGAGGGCCCAGTCTACTCATATATTTAGTACTTCACCCCAGGAACAAACTCCTTTGCGTTTGGATTCAGATTACTCTTGACCTGGGGAGAAAGAGACAACCAAATCACGATATTACTTATATCTCACTTTTCCTGACCAAAGAAAGCATTGTTCATAGCCATAGTTCACAAGTTTAAAGTAACAGACAATTTAACATGAGTTCTTGAAAACACCAAATCCAGTACAAAGAGGTTTAGAACCCTTCACCTGCTCATCACTACATGCTAAGAGCAGGGCTATTAATTCACTATTAATATCTTAAAAAAAAACAAAAAAACAGCAGCACCTAGAGGCTTCAATTAAATCAGCGTCCCATTGTGTTAGGCACTATACAAACAAGTACTAAGGAGACAGCCCCTTCCCTGAAAAGCTGCAAGTTAAAGCCTGTAGTCTCCCTAAAACACCCAAAGCACCAGAGCTTTAATTCAGTCAAATTGACTCTGGACAAGTGTCACATGGTCTTCAACCTTATACATTTGTTTGTAGACACATTCGGTTATGCAACATAAGCAAACAAAAACTTGACGTCAGAAATTTAAATAGTTTTAAGCCATTGACGGACTGCCTTTTCCTTCAAAGAAGAGTTATGTCAAAATTTAATACTAATGTGCTAAACACCCATACTTGAGTACATACACCTGCTTATTTCATAATTAGCCACCCTGTAGTATTTCCAGAGAACTCAGGAATGTAATAACTTCCATGCGGGCAATAAGCAGCACCAAGAGAAACTTCATTTTACACAATTTCCATGTATTGCCTAACAAAGGAAGAGAACGGAAACTGGGATAGCTGGAAGCATGAATTTATTTAAACTCTTAATTGGTTTACACATTAGTTTTATCACCAGCACCTTTGTTACCACTTTATATTTTAGGCCAGTTGTATGTTTTGCTATCTTGAGTCATTGGGCTGAAAGATGAATTGGTTTAGAACAGGGGTCAGCAACGTTCGGCACGCAGCTCGCCAGGGTAAGCACCCTGGCAGGCCAGGCCAGTTTTATTTATCTGCTGATGCGGTAGGTTCGGCCGATCACAGCCCCCACTGGCCGCAGTTTGCTGTCCCGGGACAATGGGGGCGGCGAGAAGCCGCGGCCAGCACATCCCTCGCCCGCGCCGCTTCTCACCGACCCCATTAGCCCGGGACGTCGAACTGCAGCCAGTGGGGGCCGCGATCGGCCGAACCTGCTGCGTCAGCAGGTAAATAAAACTGGCCCGGCCCGCCAGGGTGCTTACCCTGGCGAGCCGCGTGCCAAATGTTGCCGACCCCTGGTCTAGAAGTTACATACAGTTAATTTTATTTTTTCAAGACTTATTGTGAAGTATCAATCTTTAACAAGAAATTTCAAGTGCACAAGAACATTTCAGCAATACAGTTAGTGTGTGGTTGATCACTAGCATTAGAGTCAGGCTAGCAACAAATCTCTCTACTGTCAGATTTCCAGGGAAGTCCAACATTACTGAATGTACCTTGTGTACCTCTACTATGGGTCAACAGCCATTGCAGTGAAGGGCAGCTGCAAGAAGGTGTGCACTGGATATCAGGGACATTAGGCAGCTGTAATAAGTGTCAGCGTGGTATGTCTCAGCACTGCCATGTAGTTCCCTTGCTTTTGGGAGTGTCAGTTATAACATTTTATATTAGTTGCTTTTGCAAGTTAACTGTTCTGGGCTAACAGGAACTACCTGAAACTTGTTTGGGTATTTTTAGTTCATTTCAACATCTTTGTAAATTTAAGAACAGTTCCTATTCTAGGAACCTAGACATTAAAATACTGCCAAGTACTTGTAAAAGAGAGTTAGCAAGATTTAAACTAGGTTTTTGCAGAAGGTTTAGGTTTCTTGGCAAAGTAAAAAGATCATCTCCACCTATTTTAAAGGTTTGGGCTGACAAATCAATAATTAATGTTATTGGCTACAGTCAATACAAATTTAGGTAATCTCTTTCAAAATGTTCTACCAATACATCTCAAGCTAGATCTGGACTGTATTATTTCAGTCCTAAGACTATTTCCAACATGCCAAATTCGGTTATAGTTAACATGATGTCTGGATGTACATCAGACTTTGTCTGCAACAAGAGCTGTTGAATTAAGCCATTGCTGTTAAATGTAACTCACTGTTGCTGTTTGTTGTTTTTATTAGCCATTTTAATGACCTGTCAAGGCACGTAGAGTCTTTTGGAAGGTGATTTTTTTTTAAATTTCAAATACAAAGTTATCTAAGAACAAGCTGAGAGGAAACATACCACCAGATCCTCCAGTGATGAGCTGTCACTGATAACGAGGTCATTAAACTGATCCTGGATTTGATCCATTGTTTGTGGAAGGTCTCGAGCAGGAATAAACCACTCATGTTCTTCCTCCTCTTCCAGCATTTCCTGGAAACAACGCTCAATAAATTCTTCTTCCCATAACTCCTCTTCAATCTAAAGTTAGAAAGGGGAAAAGAGTGTTCTGGTGGATAAGTGTCTCTATGGCAGTAGTTCTCAACCCTCAACCCAATCAGCACACAGCTGCAGCCCATGTGACATCCTCACAGCC